ACAGCTGGTTAATCAGTGAACTTATTCATGGGAACTTTACTTATAGGCAATGGCATCGCGCTGACGCATTGTTACGGTTCTTCTGAAATGTCGCTTTTAAGCCTTTAGAATTTTTCTGAGCTCCCGGTGGTCCCGGCTGGTTTCTCGTATAGCATTGCACGTTTTGTCATGCACTCCAGCATGCTATGCCCTAAGCGAATGCACGTACCTATGGGAAGCGCAAGCGCCCCTGGTGGCTCTTACCCTCCACCTTTTTCCCCAAAACCCCCTCCCCTCCTCCGCAAAAAAAAAAAAAGTCTACAAAAAAAGAAAAAGAAAGGTAACTGTGATCTGCTTAACAACGCGCGACAAAGGCTTCCGTCTCCAGTTTTTAACCCATTGATGCCCCTCATTGCCCAGTCATTCAGAATAACGCAAGGGTGATTGATTTTTTCTAGCACCACGTACGCCTCAATAGATTTAGCGCGCTGTCGCGAGCACAAATATACCTGCGCATAGCAGTAAAAGATCGAAATGCATCTCAAAAGAGATCACACGTCCTTTAAAACCAATGCCGACAGTGGATGTACGGTATGATGGTGTGTACCACTGGTCTCACAACTGCGAGAAGGAAAACAGGCAAAAATATTACAAATCTCGCTACGCCTCTCTGTACAGTGCAAAATTCAAAATGCACTTGTGCCTTCTCCCACGTAATAACTGCTTTCAGTCGTTAAACGAAATTGTAATGCTGTGGGTGCCCAATGTTGCTCTCAAGCAACATTTCAAAACCACGTTTACGAAAAAAAGGTATTTTTACTCTGAGACCAGATTTTTTTTTTTATTGTCTGCTCCAAAAGCATGTCAATGTTTCTAGGGCTCTAGTATGTCAAGTGGAGCTTTGGCAATCAAAGGCACTTGTTTAAAAATAAAGTTTGCCGATCTTCTCCGTTTTATTTTTCCAGTCGGATCTGTTCGACGTGTTATATTTGGTCCTCTCAACCCCGAAAATTCCCTTTGCTAAGAGGTGACCGCGAGTGAGATCTGGAAGACAAAAAGCTACCTAGGCAATACGCCAAAAGATGCCTATCAACCCAATATTTGGGAATCCAGGGGCCTAACTTGGGCCAAAAAACATTTTGCTCCAATTCGTTAGTTGGTGCCAAAGTAGTTTTCTTTTTATCTTTTATGACTTTTCTCCCGCTTTCCACATATCTACAAAGTGCTATACACAATCCTTATCTGATCTGTCAAACAACCGGCAGTGAAGTGCTATTCTGGCATTTTTCGGGGGAACTGGGGCCCAAAGAAGCCAGGTGACAACCAAACATTTAGACAGCGATACCAAACTTTGCAATTTTAGGGCAAATATCTTCAGGCACTAATAAAATAATATTGCGTTTGGTTATAATTTCTTTCGGAGCATTCAAGAACACAATTGCCAAGCAAAGATCAAAGTTCAACCCTAAGAACTGTGCTACTATGGTAGCTGCACCAGCAGCGCCCTACATTTAGACGGGGGTTCAACTAGTGAACAAAATGTTAGAGCACAAACGAGCTGGTGGTGATTGCATATCTGACTGAAAATTCGAGACTGAGACGCGAAGGGACGGACAAACACGAAGTCTCAATCACAGCTGAAAATTTATTCGAGAAATTCGAGAACAAAAGGGCTTATATAGTCATCATATTCTACATAACACAAGAGACGAGAGAGACTGCTTTATATAGGATTTGATGCCTATATAATAAGCCTTCGTTATCGAATAAATTTCAGCTGTGTTTGTCCGTTCCTTCTCCTCCAAGTCACGGGGTGTTTAGTCAAATGTTTAAAGGGGTTCAACTCTTTGCTGGCCGAGCGGTCCTACTCTACTCGTTCCTTTTCGGCTTAAGCAGTGAGGTTCTTGTTTGGTTACTTCATTAACACGCAGAGTCAGCTCGCCTTTCTTTTCCTTGATGTTTGGCATGCATCAAAAAGGTTCTCAAAATTTTGGCCCCAGCCTTGATACCTGCCGATAGACGCTTCTCGGTATTAAAGGGATACTGAACCAAGAATTTTAGTGTCCATAATAAGTGGCGCACGTTCTTTCCACGAGCCAGTAGCCGCCTGTGTGCGCGAGCACAGGCAACAAAAGTTATGTCAAAGACCTCCATTTGCTGTTAAGATGACAGCGAAATGTATGGGCTTCGGGCCAAAGCAGAATAAAGACAAGTTTTTCATCTACACGGTGGTGTCTGGTGTAAAAGGTAAGCGATTAATTTGTATACGTAGCTTTCACTTGCAGAGATGAAAAGCCTGTCTTTTTCTCTTTTGGCCCGAAGCCCATGCATTTCACTGTCCTCTTAAGCGCGAATGCAGGTCTTTGACGTCATTTTCGTTGCGTGTGCTCGCGCACACCAGCGGCTGCTGGCTCGTGGAAAGAACGTGCGCCACTTATTATGGACACTATAGACCTTTCCAATGTTTACAAATCCACAGCTCAGCGTGCGATCTCCACAGCTCAGCACGCGCGTGTGGCGTCGCTTCGGAAAACGAGCAAATCAAGCGGGATACGCACGAACACTGAAAATGAAACCGGCCAGCAGCCCTTTTCTGGAAAGGTCTATATTCTTTGGTTCAGTATCCCTTTAAAGTGGTATCCACACGAAGGAGAACTCCGCGGACGGATGCCGTGACGTCAACATCCCGGGAAACTCCGCCCCCGGCTCCGCCGCGTGCACTTGCGGAGCTTTCGTGCTGTCAGCACAAAGCCTCCGCGCCTCCGCCACGGAGGAGAACGCGCCGCGAGGCGTCAAAAAGGGATGACGTATGTCTCACGTGATGCACGATCCGCGGAGGAAAGGGGCAGATTTCTCCTTCGTGTGGATGCCCCTTAAAGGGGCAGAAGGATAGGATAAATTGTGCGTCTGGATCATCTCCGCAGGGTTTCCGTGATCTATATCCACAAATACCAGCTACCGTTGTAGTCGTAGTATCGACGTTTATACGAGCCACACGAAAAACTCTTTAGAGACTCGGATGACATACACACTTGGATAATTATGCTAAAAAGGAATACATTTACCATTGATTATACTTTTATAAATATATCTATCCTTTGTTAAAATATGTGTTTCTATTGAGTTTCCGTATGACGACAAAAGGTAAGTCTATATACATTATGTAATCAAAAATAAAATCGCGTCGTGATACAACCACCAAATAACTAAGGACTTCCGTCGTCAATCGCGAAGACACGCTCGCACTAGCGCTGAAATGTACGCACACAATGGCACACAGATTTACCCTTTTATACAAAACGGAATATTTTATCATATTTTCTATGATGTTTTAATAAAAGTAGACAGAACCAAGCACCCTTTCGTTATATCTTCGATCAAAAATCGGCAAATTGCAGTCTCAGAAGTGCACAGTATACGAAACCTAGGGTTCGAACTAATTACGGTACACAGCACATTACAATCTCGCACCAGATCTACTAAACACACGCCCAAACATAGCAGAAGTGGCTCAAGCACACATTTCGTTTTTCCATTAAAAAGGATTGTAAAATATACAGGGTGTTCATTTTTTTTTTTGGCTGCACCAATTTTTCAACAAAAAAAAAAAGGGGGAACGTGAGATAGAGTAATTTAAGCCCTGGGGAAGTGTTAATGGCCATGGCGGCCACTGGAAAAAAGGTGAAATTAGGTAATTAGTTAGCTAATTAACTAGAATAATTTAACTAACTTTTTTAATTTTTCAATTTAGAGTACATAATGTATTTAGAGAATTGAAGCCCGACCTCAAAATGGTCTAGCCCTGCCATCAAAGTTTGATTAAAAAAATTGTAGTAGATGCTACGGGGTCAAGAAATTTCACTTTGGTACACGGCGTCAAACCGAAACTAATCGAGGAAGAGCGCCGGTAAAGTTTTCGCTCCGCCCTTTCGGGCATGCGATTTGTTATTATCGCGGCCGGCTCCACTTGCTTAGGCGAAGCTGGCTGCGGTGACGACAATCCACGGGGGCCGGAAGGGCGAAGCGATTACTTTACCGGCGCTCTTCCTCGTTTAGTTTAGGTTTGACGCCGTGTACCAAAGTGACATTCGTTGACCTCGTAACACCTACTACAAATTTTTTAACCAAACTTTGATGGCAGGGCTAGACTATGTTGATGTCGAGCTTCAATTCTCTAAATACATTATGTGCCCTCAAGTAAAAAGCTAAGAACTTAGTTAAAACATTTTAGTTAATTAGCTTACTAATTACCTAATTTCACATTTTTTCTTGTGGCCGCCATGGCCATTAACACTTTCCCAGGGCCTAAATTACTCTATCTCACGTTTCCTTTTTTTGAAAATTTGGTGCAGCTAAAAAAAAGCACCCTCTATACTAAATCACTCATGATCTGTAGTTAGCACGAAGTTGACAGTTACGTGTTATTGTGTCTGTTGTGAATTTGAAAATTGCTGTATCGTTGTATATTTATTCTGCTTATGTTCCTGTTTCTCCTCCGAGGGCTGTAAAAAAGGGGCTGGAGCCTCGTCGGAAGACAACTCGTCTTCTTTTGCCCCAGCCCCCCAGACGCTTTTTTGTGTCTGAAATAAAAGATACATACATATATGTCTTCTATTAGTTACCTGCTTTCTCAGAATGACGTACTTCTATCAGATATTAGTCAATGTTGGACTAATATACCAAGCATGCGTTAAAAATTCTAAGTTTACTAAAGGATATAAATACAAGAACATCCAACCATTTCATCTTAACAGAAACTCTTGTCCCCACTTCCTACAAAAAATAACACAAAAAATAACGTGACTTGGGGACTTGGGAGGGGGGGGGGGGTACATCATTTCCGTGTCAATACCTTTATGCAAATCTGTGTTCACTTAAAAGGCAGATAGGAAAGGGTCATAATACTAAACTCACAATAAATGTTATCATCCAGTCCATTTAACCTATTGGATATCGGCTCCTGCCAACATCGTCGAGATCCAGGACTTATTTTATTCGGACATACGTTTGCTTGTCTTCAGGTGCGCGGCCGTCGTTATGCTGTATCCCCTGGTCAGTCACTTCGGCTACCGTATCACGCCCAGGCAAGCCGTGGTGCTCATCTGGATGGGACTCAAGGGAAGCTACACCATTTCTCTGGCATCGCTTTACCATTTCGCCAACGAGGCGAAACAGACAGAGTCCATCAACAAGGTAACGTTCGCGCATAGTCTACACTTTTCTCTGCCGACGTCAAAAGGTTTATTGGGATCTCGCCCACACGTCATAGACAACAAGACCGTAGTGCTGAATTTATACTATGCGTACCGTAGGTTTCTGCGACAGGGTTAAATCAGCTACGTTGACATTAACACCAGTCTTACCGTTACCTTCTTCCGGCCGACAATTATTCTGGAATGCACAAAGTAAAATAATGGAAAGTAATTTTATCTCAAATATGAATATTCTGGGCAGCTGAGCGTTTATTCTCTTCAGGTGAAATTGTCCGAGCACCGCAGATTTGGAGAATCCTTGGCCAATGGCTGGAAATGGTCCTTTGGCCAGTGGCTAAACAGTGGCCAGCCTTTGGTTGATGACTGACCTTTCTCTGGCCATTGGACAATTGCCACTGTTCGTCAGCCATCTGCCAAGCATTGGCCGATGAATGGCCATTCTTTCGCCATTGGCTAAAAGACCATTGCCAGCCATCGGCCAATACTTGGCCAAATTCCGTGCTGCTTGGGTGAGCTTCGAACTGAGCGAACCATGCTCGAGGGTTCTTTGCCAAAAATGTTGGAAGCCGGACCTAGAGTGTAGATAGCGCCGCCTTTATTGGGATGGTTCTGCTTCTCGTTTTAGAGCGCAGCTCTTAGGCGCCCGTTCCCGGCTTGAGCGGCGTCGGCGTCGCAGTCGGCGTCGCCGTCGGCGTAACCGCGCGGTGCATTATGGGTAAATTTCCCCACTAAATCTAGCGGAAAAATTTCCCCGCTAAATTTAGCGGAAAAATTTCCCCGCTAGATCTAGCGGAAAACTTCCCCGCTAAATCTAGCGGAAAAATTTCTCCGCTAAATTTAGCGGAAAAATTCCCCCGCTAAATCTAGCGGAAAAATTTCTCCGCTAAATTTAGCGGAAAAATTTACCCGCTAAATCTAGCGGAAAATATTTCCCCCCTAAATCTAGCGGAAACATTTACCCGCTAAATCTAGAGGAAAAAATTTCCCCGCTAAATTTAGCGGAAAAAATTTCCCCGCTAAATCTAGCGGAAAACATTTCCCCGCAAAATTTAGCGGAAAAAATTTCTCCGCTAAATCTAGCGGAAAAAATTTCCCCGCTAAATTTAGCGGAAAAAATTTCCCCGCTAAATCTAGCGGAAAAAATTTCCCCGCTAAATCTAGCGGAAAATTTTTTTCTGGGGGTCACGTGACCCCCTGAGGTCACGACCCCCGTAGTCACGTGACACCCCCAGGTCACGTGACCCCCACGTGACCTTGGGGAGGGGATGTGACCCCACCAAGGTCACGTGACCACCCCCCTCGAGGTCACTTGATCTCCCCCCCCCCCCTGAAAACCCGTGAACCTCAGTACCCTTCCCTCCTCCTCCTCAAGAGCTGCGCTCTAATTCGGCGTTACAGGGTGTTGTAAACGGCTTTCATTTTTAGAGCGCAGCTCTTAGGGGCCCGTTTCCGGCTTGAGCGGCGTCGGCGTCGCCGTCGCCGTCGCCGTCGGCGTAACCGCGCGGTGCATCATGGGAAATATCCCATAATGCACCGCGCGAGCCCCCCACCGGGGTCACGTGACTTCGTGGGGAGGCACGTGACCCCCCCGAGGTCACGTGACCCCCCGAAGTCACGTGACTCCCCTGAGGTCACGTGACCCCCTCCTCGAGGTCACGTGACTCTCCTGAGGTCACGTGACCCCCTCCTCGAGGTCACGTGACCCCCGCCGATGTCGCGTGACCCCCCGATGACAATGACGTCATCGACACTGATGACGTCACCGGCATCCACATCGTCATCATCAGTGATGACGATGACGATGCGGATGCCGGTGACGTCATCAGTGATTATGACGATGACGATGTGGATGCCGGTGACGTCATCAGTGATGATGACATCAATGATGATGACGTCATCAGTGACGATGACGATGTGGATGCCGGTGACGTCATCAGTGATGATGACGATGACGATGTGGATGCCGGTGACGTCATCAGTGATGATGACGATGATGATGCGGATGCCGGTGACGTCATCAGTGATGATGACGATGACGATGTGGATGCCGGTGACGTCATCAGTGATGATGACGATGACGATGTGGATGCCGGTGACGTTACCGACATCCGCATCGTCATCGTCATCATCACTGATGACGACATCAGTGACGTACGTCACTGATGTCGTCACCGGCATCCGCATCGTCATCGTCATCATCACTGATGACGTCGTCAGCGACGTCACTGATGACGTCACCGACATTCGCATCGTCATCGTCATCATCACTGGTGAAGTCATCAGTGACGTCACTAATGACGTTATCAGTGACGTCAGTGATGACATCATCGGCATTGGGGGTCACGTGACCCCCCAAGGTCACGTGACCCCCCCTGGTTAGTCTAACCCCCCCCCCCCCCAGCGCCCTTCCCTCCTCCTCAAGAGCTGCGCTCCAATTCGGCGTTACAGGGAGTTGTAAGCGGCTTTCACTTTTTTTAATGCCAGTCCGGGACTGGAAGGGGACGTTCGAGCGGGCTTGAGGGTTGCCGGTCAGCATGTGCGTTGAATGATGGCTCGACGATAAAGCCCTCTGTGATGTCGGTCTTCGGGTTACCAAGTGAAGTAGAAAATTGACCCTTCATTTCTTTACAAAGAAAAGAAAACACAAATTCCAAGGTATGGTCGCCAGACCGGGAGCTAGACCGTTGAAGGAGTTGGAAGGTGCCGATGCTCTGTCTCCAGCTAGCGCCTCTCGATGAGTGAGAGTTTATGTGGAGCGTGCTGTTAACGTGAATCGTTTCGTGAGCCACGTTATTATTGTTGTCATCGCAAAGCTGCTACAGCACTTTTTAGGTCTGCCTTTCGAACACATTCTTATTTATCGCAGATTTTTAGGTTCAAGGCGGGTGTTAGATTTCTTTTTTACTTCAGATTTGGGAATTTTAGAGAGAAAAATTTTAACACTTTGTGTTTCCTCTTTGCAGTCTTTTCTGTATGTCATATCCGACATGGTTCTCACGCAATTTATCAACGTGTCCCTCCTGCCACACCTGCTCAAGGCCATGGGTAAGAAACACGTCTGCCCTGTGAAAGGCGTCTCTCACACAGTCTTGTATACGTTACTCGAAAAAAGAAATTGATAACAATTACCATTACTCTTGGTTAAAAAGTAATTAATCAGATTACTTGAGAACCAGAATTAGGTTGCCCTTATGTGAAAAAGTAATCATGGCTTCTCCGATTACTTCACATTTTCATAACGACAAACTTTTCTGTCGGCTTAAAAACGGGTTTAGTATTTGACTATAATTACCGAACTACACACCCTCAACTTTTCTACACAATTGTAGAAACGAAGAACGCTTTAAAAAGAAAAAACAAATTTGTCAGTTCTGACTAATTTTAGTAACTGCAAAATAATAAGATTTCTGTTGTGGTTACTTCCAAATAAATGTATTAAAATGATTAGAACATTACACCAAAAAGTAATTCGTTACAACTAATTTGCTTACTTGCAATAAGTACCGTACAGGTCCGCTCTTACTTAACGGAATGCCGTACTCCTTCCAAAAACATTACTTTAGTGGCTAAATAGGGCACACACCTGTCACATAATGCGAATCCCCCGACAGCAAAAGATTTTGACCAATATATATCCAATATACTGTTTTTTTTTTATTCTTGCAGTTTTGTTTAAAACAAAAACTGCGAAAGCTACACTGATGTGGTTTGTGCGAGTGAGTTGCACGCCTAGGGTGATATTATGTGGGTGGCTAATATTCGCTATGAGTCAGCTAATTAATTAAAGTTCACTAATTAACTTTTTAATTTGCGAAATTATAATAGACATATGGTGCCAATTAAAAACTTGCTGAGCGTCGTGCAAAACCCCTACATCGGTCATTTTTAGAAAGACTTTTGTTCGCGTGAGGATCGCATTTAGCGCGCTGAATTTACCACTCGTGGAGCAGGTACAAGGCTGTTGCTAGATAAGAGACGGAAAAATTGCGCGGGCGCCTTATCGAAACCGCTAACCTTGTACCTGCGCCACGAGTGGTAACTTTAGTGCATTACTGCGCTTCTCACGCGCTGAAAGTGTCTCTGAAAATAACTGATTTAGGGGTTTTGGAGATGCTCAGCAAGTTTTTAATTGGAAGTATATGTCTACGCTTACAAATTAAAAAGTTAATTATGGAATTTTAGTTCATTAGCAGACTTATCGCAAAGATTAGCCACCCACATAATGTCCCTCTGGGCGTATAACTCACTCGCACAAAAAGCAAAAGTTTAGATTTCATGGCTTTTTTTTTTTAAACAAATCTGCAAAAAAAAAAAAAAGAAAACACCCTGTATATGTAGCGAGATAAATTTTAGGTTCGGAGCAATCCTCAATAATTATTCTATATTCTAAGATGAATGCATATTTCGGGAATCATCAATTGAGTTTTCCGACGTTAATATTGAGCTCAGTTGTTTTGTTTAATTTCTTGTTCGGGGGAGGGGGGGGGGGGGGGGGGAAGGGTAATTTTAGACATATGCTTCTCTCATCCAGGTAATTCAAAAGTGGCTTTCAGAGGTTTAGTGTCCTTCTAAAACGCTTCGAATTTTAAATCTTGAAATATAGCTTTCTCCGTCAGTGTAGCAACGAAAGTTTAAGTGCTGTTTGTTTTACTGAACAACAATTTCAGTGATTTAAATATGTAGTATTTCGCCCAGCGAAAGGTTATTCTATTTTTTTTTTCAATTCTGTATATAATAGCAAAGCGCAGTGAATTTGCGCTGCAATTCCAATCATACTTACTCAGATTAAGTGTGAGCTCTTCTTTTTAGTTCCTCTAAAACAGAATCGATTATGCCGTTTACATAAAGAAAAAAGACCTGCATCTCAAAGATACATATAGATAGGTTTCTACTTTAAATCCACTTTAAAGTCGTGCAGAACCAGATCATATGTCATATTTTTTCAAGACAACTAATTCAATAAAAATTTGACAACTCCTTTTCTTGAACCGTGTAACATATACTATCAAAGCAATGTTTTTTTTGTTTTTTTTTTCAGCTGAGCACAGCAAGCGTTTTAATGAGTAGTGCTAATGCAACTAATGCTACTGCATTGCACCACCGTGTAATGAACGCACAAAACGTCCGCCAGCCAAATTATCAATCCCATGCTTTTCATGGGTGGTAGCCCTAATGGGACATCTTTTAAATGGACGACCCAACTCTTCTTTTGTTTTAGTTCTGAAGCTCAGGTGGACGCGCTTTCTTGCGCGTCTACTTTTGCAGGAATTCTGAAAGTGTCGGAAGTGGAATTCCAGACAATGAATGATGCCGTCACCTTCGTCCAAGAAACCGTAGACAGGGCAGCACACATCAGCACCGCCGACATTTACTTCGTTGTGGCTGATAAGTCGTGGGTGATGCGTAACACCAGGATAATCAATCCTCTCGAAGGCAGCTACAGGTTCCACAGGAGACTCGTGAGCCTTTTTCTTTGACTGCGACTACCCTGGAGCTACGCTTTCGCCGTACATTTTGATGAACGACACCGCAGCTTTCCGGTGCAGTGCTGTTGCGGTGCTCCACGACAAACGTTTACCAATGAACCAGCTAAAGTTCACATGAGATTGCGGTTTCGTTGCGGTTGGGGCTCCATACCATAAACTGAGAGTGCGGCAGATGCTACGCGTTCGCCGGACCAATCAGCTGCCTCTCTTCCATAACCTGACACCGTTCTCTGCGTGGGGGTAACGACTGGGAAGCCGGAATCACGCAGCGAAATAGAGATATCTGATTGGTTCAAGAACCACGTAACTTCCACCGCGCTGTCAGATGGGGCCAAAAGTAGTAGATATGTTTTTTTTTTTTTTTTTTTTTTTTTGTTAGATAAACAGTAACAGTTTCAATTCAGTTTCCAGCTCGGGTTCGTGTTCGGATGGGCACATTCGCAACGAGTGTATATGAAGTAATTCGTTGGAAATACCTTGTAATTCAGTTATATATAAAGAATACTCTCTTAGACCTGAAATGCTGCTGTGACAAAAGAAGCTTGAAAAGTAATTTTATTAGAATAATCAATTACTTGCAACAGATTACTTCTCGAGACTGGTCCAAGTAGGCTGTAATGACGTGAGAGTTTCAGTGGCTTGGTGACGGCTGCCGGCGAAGTCGAAAGACGGCCATGTTAGTTAACCTCCTCCAGAGATGGCGCCACCAGTGCCGAGAAGAGATGAGGGTTGTGTTTCCGCGGAAATGTACTTGCCCGGGATAAGTCATCTGTGTTTCTGTCATCTGTGTGATAAGTCATCTGTGGAAACGATGTACGAGAAAAAAGAAGCGTTGTTAATATGTGAACGAGATTTGTATTGAAGCATTCAGTGTATTTTATTATCACTGTTTATCATGTTTCGCTCGTTCTTCTTCCCTCAGATAATCTAAAACTCCTACTGAGAGTTTAATTCTGATAGATATTCCCCTCGGAAACACACGCTTAAGCTCTTGTCGGGTTGGGTAGGGCTATCTGTGGTATAGTTGAACAAACAGGGTAGTTGAAGCATCACCTCCGAGATCCAGAAGCGCCCCGAGAGCTTCCGTTCTACGTCATTTTAAATCTTAAATGTACATTTTTGGGGGGTTTTCTTTATCACTCTTTGTTCAGGATTACAGAGGCAGCTCCGTGACAGGAATACGACGAGGCCGTTGTTAATCTCGTATATGCGTAGAGTCACGCATAATCTTAAGAAAGTTGCCTCGCGTTACGATGTGCCTGTAGTGTTCACTGCACCCAATAAGCTGGGGCGGCTGTGCCGTAGGATCAACAATCCCATTGTAGCGAAAGATCCCTGTGATACCAGGTACCGCAAAAAATACATAGAGTGGACTACGGGTGTTGTCTACGAAATCGCTGCGTCATGCGGCTCGTCTTATATCGGCCAAACGGGTAGGTGTTTCAATGATCGGTGCACGGGAACACGCCGCGGTGACGAAAGCCAGTCCATCGGGACATCTTGCCATACACTGCAGTCGTTGCCCATGTGCCTCGTCATTTGGCGACGCAAAGGTTCTGCCTAGATACCCGTATAGGGATTCTGGAGAACTGCATGAGACCTTTGAAATCCAGACAAAGGGCGAAAAATGCATAAGTGACAAGTCCCTTTCCTTATCGGGGAATGAGTATTCTTTTTATTTTTTGCGGGGGTTAAGCAGAACGTAGGAGAGAGTTCCTGTTAGTTCGAAGCTATATACATCATTGTTTCCACAAATAAAAACCAGTTGCAAGTGCGCTTTTGTCTTTTTACTTCTTCGCCCTTGTATTTTTTGCATTTCTTTAAGTGGACATATGCACCATTAAAAAAGGTTGATTCCACTGATCATTCTGAAGGCCGACTCCGTTCGTGTCGCAGTTTTTAAAGGGACACTGACACCCCCCAAAATTTTTTTTCCATTTTTTGCCAGGCGCTTCATTATGGTGTCGGAGGGCTACCCACTTAATATTTTGCAACAGAGTAGCGTATTTTTTTTAATAAAGCCAAAAGACGCAACTGCCCTAAACCGAAACCAAAACCCGACGGAGATCGGAGAAGTGGAGAGAAGAGGGTTAGCGGCGGAAGTCACGTGGCTACACCCGACCGCGCGTTTTTTTTTTATATTTTTTTTCTCTGTAGCAGACGACACGACATTCGGCGTACGGGAACTGTTCGCCGTGCGATTCTTTTGCAGTTATGTTTGTTCCGATCGTTGTTCGGTACTCCAAGATGAGTTGTTTTGTACATTGAGGAGTTGGAGATGAGTAGTGAGTGCCCGTGGTGAATTTCCGTGATCGGGCTCCGAAAATAATACACCCAAGATGTTGCGTGAAGAGCTGGCTCACATGTCCTGCGTCCGAAAAAAAAAAGGGGCATTGTGCGACAGAGTTTCCGAAAGATCAACGGGATCGGGACCTATGGCTGGCTGCAATTCCTGTAGAACATATACGTGCACCTCGGAAAGCGGACGCTACCTGATTTATATGCTCCTTGCATTTTTTGGAGAGTGATTGAGTTCGCAGGTGTCAAAAAGGAAATCCCATACCATTTAATTCAGCGACGTTTCGTCCACAACATTTGTTTGTTATTTTTTCGTTTGTTTCTTCAATGATAATTGTAAAAAAAAAAAAAAGATGTGTAAACATTAGAAAATGTTTGAAAAAAAAAATAAAAAAGGGTTTCACGCGGGATTGAACCCGGTCCTACCGCGTGTGAAGCGGACGTCTTTCCCACTGAGCTACTGGAGCAACTTTTTACTGGTGGATCTCTTTCCTTAGTAATAAAATAATTCAGCCGGTAAACTGTAAGTTGGAAAGTTTGATGCCGATATTCCTCTAGCAAAAGCACTCCCGGGTCAAGTCGGGAAGCACCACGCATTGGCGACATTCGCACCTAGTAAAGAAATCGTACGCGTGCATATTCAACTCGAAGTAGACACGTCGTGCTTGACGTTTGCGCGAGCGATGTCTTCAGCTACGAGAAGGGAGCGACGGCTCGGCGACGTCTTCGTGCAAATCGGCTTGGTGGTCGGGCGTGTCGTACGGGATGAATACCAATTCTTTTGATCGGTCCCAAATTTCCCTTTTAAAGGTAGACAGAATTCGCCGATACCGCGAATGACAGTTCTGAAATAGAGGTCCCACGCCGTCCCCGCGAGTCCCACGATACGCGAAACGACGAACGCACGGAATGCTTCCGGTTGTTTGTGTAACTTTTTTTTTTTTTCAATCAACGTATTTGCACCTTTTTAGAAGCCACAAAAAATGGTTTTCATATTTTTTTTTTCTATTTTTAATACTGAGTGTGTGCCTTCACTGACCCACGACTTTGATTAAATTTGGTTGTCGCACCGATACCTTAGAAAACGGCCCGTGACCGCGGAAAAGAGAGTGAGCGAGACTCGAACGGGCCAGTTCTTGATCGGCGGTTTTCGGGCAGAAAGAAACCGAATTTCGAGCCGCAAATTCTGTTCTGGGTAGTTGAGCTCTCATATGTCACGTACAACTAAAAACCTCGGCGAGCATAAATACCCTGTCAGTGTCCCTTTAAACGCTTGTTAATTCAGATAAACATCACGCTACAAAAGAAAATTTGGGGTAGAATCGGTGCTGGCTCAATTTCATACTAGATATAGGAATTGTACGAAAGACAAAACTGAACAGGGCCACTATACATGGTGGCCTAAATCGCAAACTTAGCAGCGATCTTCTCCTCACCGGTTAGAGCTACCTGCTTCGTCCGCGTATGAAGAATATTTACATGAAATAAAGAACAGAAAATACTTCCCCTGCCGAGGTTTCTAATCAGTCACTGGCAGATGTCTCGCAGTGATTTCTAGCCCTTTGCACTCAGTACCACTTTCAGTAGTCCAATTTCCAGCGACACCTCGCCGCACAAGAACGAAGGCAAACAATTAAAAAGAGTGAGCGTCCCCCTGTTGGCCGCGCAGTCAGCGCGGTGTGACAAGGTGTTCTCCGACTGTCAAGCAACGAATCGCCGGACGTTGTTTTCGGGAGACAGAAACAGTTGCCTCAATGTGACACCGAAAACATGTTTCTGTTGTGTTGATGAAGATATTTATCCAACTGTTTCCTCGATGTGACAACGCCTTTACAGTTATGTTTTATGTACAATCCAAGTCTGCCTGCATAAATTCTACGATAAAAAAAAAACAAAAAAAAAACAATTCTCGTGTACGTTGCAATTCCGTTGAGCCTACCCTCAATCTTCTACAGGTCTTCGCGTTTATTCTAGTTGAATTGAAAATAGAGGCAAAATAATTATCCTACAGAATGTCAGCCGAGAAAACTAAAAGATCTGGCGCACCGTTGACAATAAGGTAAGCAGCGCTAAAGAGAGAAGCTTTACACTATTGCCCTTCCAACTGTTCGATTAAAAATTAAATTTTTAGAAGACAGGACAATTAAATACAGAAATCGCATTATTTATTCGCTTTAAATGTTATTAAGAAAATGGTGTGTGCTTTTTTAAAGCAAACGCTTTTAATTTCCCTTTGTATGCAGACTCAACTTCCCTTTGGTTTAATATTGGAAACTTATGTAACTGGTAAACCCTATAGCCCTCAGTTTTTGAACACAACAAAACATTTATACATCTTATCTCAACTGCCGGTGATACAGTCGGGTAGAATTTGAGCTATCGGTAATGCGAATTTATTTTCAAGGTTTGAAAACACGGTCCGCTTTTCCAAGCCGACACAGCAGCAGTACACCTGCTTTTGGTGACTTGCGTCCGAACGCAAAATAGCGGATTTAACTGAGCCATATGTTCAAATGTCTGTTTTCTAGTTGAAAAGAAGGGGACGCGGTGGGCAATCCATGTCGCAACAGCACGCCGAACTTTTTGCGGTCGAGAACGTGCTCCGAATTGAAGCGGTAAGTAAATTAAAAGCTTTGTAATTGTTGTTTCGAGCTGTTGACAGCTTGTCCTAAATACCTGCTCAGGTATTTAGGACAAGCTCTTTAAGATGAGCAGCACGCGTGATAGTCCTTGGTGACCCTACAGATGTAATCATATGTATCTAACAAAATGAACTATCGGATACTAATGGCATAAATACGTATGTATTTTCAGAATATTTTGACGCATTGCAATTTTGAGGTCGTAAACTGTTAAGTTAAGAAAAGCAGGACAGCTAACATTTCGGACAAAGAAACACACTCCTCCATCAGGTTTGCATTGGTACAAAATGTGCTATGTTTGACGTTTGGCATCCAAAATAGGCTTTGCAATGCCGTGATTGCAACTATTCCACGCACACGACGAGAACCAAGACATGCAAGACAAGATTATTATAGATCAAATGCAATTTTTTTTATAAATTTTGAAGTTAAATTGATTGGATAAATTTGCGGGTCGCCCGTCATTAGCGCCTGATCAGGCCGAGTTTAATTCGCCTCGAGGGAGTCACACGGGAAGCGCTATCATCATAATAGGTTGAATGGTACTCACGCGTTTGGACGTTTGGCTCTAAGCTGGTAGGCAGATGCTGTCGGCGATCCTGGTCCAAATTATGTCACTGTCATGGATGTTGCTCTCCTCTGCCTCCTGCTGCTTTCTCGATCTCTGTCCCGACCGCCTTGTCACGAGCCCCACTCTCCACGATCCTTCAACTTCGCCCCTCCTTTTTCTGTTCCCCCTGGTGTGTTTTGCGGTGCCGTCCCTTCACGTGCCACGCTGATCCTCGTTCTCCATAGATTTACTGTAAGAGTGGAATGGCTGAGCGTGTTAATAAAACTTCGCCTTGAAGGTACCCAGTCGGTACTGAATTTCAGCATAACTAGCCAAAGGGCGGAAGTTATGGATCGCTTGAGCATTGTGTGCAGTAAAGCGAACCCAATGATACCTCTACACAGGAGAAGAGGAACTGTAGTCCGTTGTCACGCGCTTCATGGTGACGCTATGATTGGCTTACACTGGTTTCAGCTTTCGCCCATTGTCAAGCTACACTAAAGCGGAGTATAGAGGGTGAATTTTTCTATATAACAAGTGACGCTTCAAGATTGCTTATATTAAGGGCACATATTAGGGTACCACATAGTGCGTGTTCCACAGACATTTCCTCTATCTCAGTTTTACATTGAGTAACTAATTCTGCTGAGGCTTCAAGTGAAATCCCTATAAACTTTCAGGTGAGCTATTCTCGGCAGCATCGTCAGGGAATCATTCAAAAAAAGACCAAGATGGCTCTTCTGGCAGCTCTGCAGTATCCGTACGACAAGAGAATGTAAGTTGCAACGTTCTCCCTTTCTTTTTCCTGTTAAAGTGCTTAATTTTAAAAGTCATGAGAATAAATTATGAGATATTCAACCAGTGGGAGGGTGGGATTGTTTTTCTTAAAATAAAAGCAACGACATACTTCCGACTGCAACTCTTGAATTCGTTAAATGCCCAGTTTTAATCCGGTGCTGACTGCGTAGACCCTCGGTGTAGTACTTTTCACTTCAACGTGGGCCTAGAGTTCGTGCAAATTAGATTGTAGCATCTCTATGTCAGACTTACTCTTTTATTCAAGATTTTCAAGTTTTACGTATAGGCTCTACACTGATAACCTTGACTGGGAGGTGAAGGAGACAAAATATGTTATAATTTGAAAGGTTAACTGGTGGAGAATACTACAAAAACTACGCTAAGCTGGAGGAAGAGATATAATAAATTATAATAAATTACTAAATATCGCTCTGTTTACCATCTCATAAAGCACTTGGTATGAGGGGAAGATATGTGAAGCAACTGGAGTAGAAAAAACAGGAAAGGCACAACAAAACACAACGTCTCAAACATAATTCACAGCTTCATTTCTCGTAAATTTACATAGTTTTAGGTTCTAATGCGATCGCACTCATTAGCTACTCCCCCCTCTTTCTATTTCCTCGTTCTTTTTTACTTCTAATGCGCAGTAGGTATGCGAAGTAGAGATGCAACAACATAACACTGTAGTTGCATCCCATTGCGGCGCGCGTTTACGGAGCGGCAGTACGCACTCCCTCACATTCGCAAGCTCTTGGAAGGACTTGGCGACTTTGACGTCATCTTAGACGTCGTCTTCTATGTCGCTTTCTAAGACGCCAATTCTAGACGTCGTCTTTGAGCTAGTTCTAGAGTTTTTCCTTGAGATTACCACAGAGATCGTGCAAAAGATTGTCCTAGACGTCATATTTTACGTAATCCTTGAGGTCTTCCAAGAAGTCGTCCTAGAGGTCGTTCTTCAGGTCGCTTTAAAGGTCGTCTTAGAAGTCATTCTAGATAACATCTTTGGCGTGGTCCACTAGGACGTCGTTCTCAACGTCGTCCTAGACGTCGTTCTTGAGGTTGTTTTAGAGGTGGTTCTTCAGGCTGCCCTAGAGGTTGTCCTAAAGGTCGTCGTAGACGTCGTCTTAGACATCGTGCTTGAGGATGTCCCAGACGTCGTTCCTAACGTCGTCCTCTACGACGTCGTCCTCGACGTCATCCTTGACGCCGTCCTTAAATCGTTCATGGCCTCATAACAAAATGAGGTGAACGTGACGAATGCTATCGCAATTCATTAACAACCAAAAATAGTGGTTTCTGCAGTCAATGTTTTAGACAAATGATAAACTAACATTAGGTTGCCAATACTATTCCTGGGTTATTGCTTTAATATTGTCAGACACTAGAATCCTCTATAATACGCAAATATATTTTAAATTAGAGTATATATATTAAGTTCCTAACTTGGACCTTTGTGAAACCTAACTTAGACCTTTGTGAAACCTGTCATTTTTCACTCTACGTAACGATCTGAAAGAGTTGCTACTTTATGGTAAAAAGGCTGTCTAATATAATGGGATTCCTAATGGTTACTGATTTAAACGATGACTCCAGGCGTATACGATGCTTGACGTCCCATTGCTGTGCCTAAAGGGCCACTTCACCGTCCCTTTGTTGGCATTAGAGTTGGAACTAAAATATTCACTGCATTAAATGAATTTCTCAAAACTTTCAGTAAAAAAAATTAAAATGCGAGCTTCGTAAAGAAATAATTGAGGTCACTTAGCCATAATTTTCTACCTTTTATGTTCTGCTGCAGGATCACAAGTACTGTTTGGGGTGCTTCCTAGGTCTGCTTTAAGATTGCCGTCAAATCTAGGTCACCCAGAGTGATAAGGCATACTTTTTCTAACCATACGAGAAGAGAGGACAATCCGTTAGGGCTATTTAAATACCGAACAGCGCTGAGCAATCGAACTAAATATCTTAGTGCAGTTTAGGTCAAGTTCAAACAAAAATGAACTCGGGACATCAAGAAAGGTTTCTATCATGGTGTAGGGAATCGTATGATTCACATTGTTAGGAGTTGATCAAAGTATTTCGCCCTCTAGTACTGACCAGTAGACGCATACCATGCTGTGAATTGAGAACTCAGGCAACTGTTTATACAAACAAGTTGTTAAAGTTCAAAGCATTACTCAATCAACTAGGTTCTTGCACAGGTATTAAAATTGCATTTTTATTTTTCATTAGTTTTAAGTTTAATTGTGAAGCTAGATAAACAAAAACTGCCTTCCGAAAGAAACTACTGTTTGGAGTAGCTTTAAGTAAATCTTCCCCTTCGGAATCTTTTTTTTTTTTCTCATCAGATATCTGGACATGGACATCATCGGATCGCTCGTCGATATTCCGACATGGATCTTGCGATTGGTGAGCTCAACCTTTCGAAAGTTATTTACTGAGTTTTTAGTATAACTATAAACTTTGGCAAATATCTAAATAGTGAACTTTGAATCATTTCGTTTTGATGTACGAGAAGAGGGCGACAAGACAGAGGCACGCATTAGCATACTTTATATTCCCCAAGCAAAACGCTGCCATCAGACCTGCTAGGCCATCAGTGATATTAATCGTTTTAAGGAATTGCGTTTAACTCTGCATAAACAAACTGGTGTTGGAAGAGTTCTAGGCCGTCTTCTTAGAAGACAACACAAGGCAGGTCGCATCCAGTGCACGCGTCTTCATTCTGTAGTAAATGCCGGAAGAAAACGTAAATAAGAAGAACGAGTACCGGAACGTCAGCAATGGAAATGCACATTCAAGATTTGAGTAACTTCAAATACAGCTTTCTAAAATTATTCAAATAATTAGTAATGAAATATAATTCATATTCTAATGCCTCATAAATTTATTTGAAAATGCATGAGTGGCTTTGGGTTTCAACTGTGAGAAGTTGTCTCAATGTGGACACCTTGCCTGCTTTCAGATAAAACAGTATTTCACAACGTCATGCGAAAATAAATTCGTACCTTTATGTGGGCGACCTCGACTTTTACGTGTGTAGCACCATTTAGGACTATAACTTTGGCCCAAATGAACTGCATGCAAATATATACTGGGTGTCTCTTGGAAGAATAACTTTGATAAAAAAATTAAAAAAAAATTGCATTGCCGGATTTTTTTTTTTCACCTCAATGTAGCGTAAGCGCTTTCAACCAGATGCCGAAGTATCAGGACTTCCAAACGTTATAAGCGACTTTTGTAAATTTATAATGAAAAGAATGGGCCCCTTTTTTGCAGCCAAAACCGTTAATCTTTATGCATTGTTATCTTAAAACTGATTCAGCCTTTATTGGAAAGCTTCGCTTTTTGAGCACTTCTTTTTGTACGCACATTATTTATTTACTTGAATAGGTTAGTTCGCAGCGTCTAAGATGCGTGATTGCAAGGAGGGGGTGCTTATACGTTTTCATAAATTGACAAGCGTTAATGTTGGAGGAGGCGTAGGTATCACTGGCTCCAAAAGTAATAGCGGGAGTGTACGCCAATATACGGCGCCAACAACGATAAGCTCGTGTTCCGCTTACTTCGCGAGGTAATCAAATCAACGAGTGGCTCGGGACGCGTCATACAAAGCACTAATGCCCCAGTAACTTGCAGTCGTAGCTAGACATAACATAGCCTAGTTAAACGTCACTGTTTTCCCTCATTTTAATATTTTAGGTTTGAACATGAAACATAAATACCAGCAGAGCTTCGCCACTGAGACGTGAATTGGTCCTTCCTGACGTCGAGGGGAATCACTGACTGAAATATGACGAATAAAGATTACCAATGTTTCAAGCCATGTTTATTATTTTTTATTCTCACTATATGCTTGGTAGTTCCCATTTTTGCCCACCTCGAAAAAATGTTTCTGTCAACATTTTAGTTTGACTCCAACTACAAAACTGTTGTACACGAATAGGAAGTTATCATGTTGCACTCATTAACATTTGAAAGTAGCATATTTGCTACACAAAATTTAAAAAAAGTCGAGAGCTTACCTCGACTGACAAATGACGCACGTCCGTCCGTCTGGTTCACCATCATGTCTTCTTTTTGATAGTGGTATCAACAGGGTGTTTCCGAGATATAGATTTAAAACTAAAGCTGCGAGAAATGGTAGCAATTTCTAGTTTGTTACATAGTCTTCCCCTTTTCTCTATTGTGGTTAGCCCCCCGTCTATCCCAACGTTCCCAAGATATATATTATAGGCAGAACCCAGTATCACTCCGGAGTATTATATCAGTGGAGTCTATCCCGGGAAACTTGAAAACAGGTGTTTTCAGGCGAAACCACCATCTCCTCGGTACAATGTGGAACATTCCCTAAACAGACATTTCAAGTCGCCAAAAGCTGTAACAACACCTCTCTCACATGCTCAGTAGTTTTATCAGATCATTAAACCGAATGTAAAAAAATGTACCCTTTCGAAAAAAAATATTTGGAATGAACCACCTGCCAAGCACCATTATGGGTGTTTTTAAGTTTACCGCGCACCCAAACTGTGACAAGGTACAGTCGAGAGCAAAAGTTTGCGGGGCACCGGAGCGCGTGCCGAAATGCATCGCCGCGCCGTGCAACGGCGCGCCGCCCCATTAAAAGCCGCGCTTTGCGCATGCGCGCCCTTCGTGCTGGCAGTCATGTCTCTTTCGCTCGTTTCTGTCCGACTCCCTCCTGATAACCGGAGTCGGCGCCAGGGGCGCAAGTTGCCGTTTCACTGGCTGTCATGCCTGGCGTCCTCATCAGCCGCCACAGCAGCCGCGCTGGGTGACGGAGCGCCTGGTTAAGCCCCTCCCCTTCCCTACGCGAGCTCCGTGACAAAGCGCGGCGGCTGAAGCAGACGCTCAGCATGACAGCCAGCGAAGCGCTAACTCGCGCCCCTGGCGCCGACTCCTGTTATCAGGAGTGCGTCGGAAAGAAACGAGCGAAAGAGACATGAATGCGAACACGAAAGGCGCGCATGCGCAAAGCGCGTCTCCTTAATGCGGCGGCGCGCCGTCGGACGGCGCGGCGATGCATTTCGGCACGCGCTCCCGTGCCCCGCAAACTTTTGCTCCCGACTGTACATGGGATGCACCAGGATATAAAATATCTGCATGTTTTGTCTCTAAATCACTAGTTGGTTCTGCCTTGGCCAGTGGTGTCCAAGAAGAAGCCAAGACAACAATATACTTGCTAGTCTCTCTGCCGGCGATAACTTAATGACCTTATTCAGTAATATACTACTATTAATGTTTGTGAAGCGCACGAATAATTTCTAACTGCTGAATGTCGAACTTCGGCAAATATGCAAATTTTTTTGGCGAAGTAATTTGCCAGATTAAAATTGAATGTATGCTTTATTTAGACATGGGAAGAACGGCACACATGGAGGAAAACACAAAAAAAGAACACCGAAAAAGGCACACTCAAGCGCCTTGTGTGTCTCACTCTAACTTATTTACTCGAAGTATACCCCCAATTTTCTCTCGGAAGTGAAAAAAACAGCAGACACACAAAATAAACATAAGAGCCAAGATCCCCCTTTTCAAGTGCACAAATGGGAACAAGAAAATCAAAATAAAATATCGCACTACGCTTACCTGCAGTAAAGAGTGTTAAGAACTGTCACGAGATGAGTCCAAGGCAGCAGGCATTCGGTACGCTCGATGAAATCACCCTACAACGTTGCCGCAGGACGAAAGAAATATATTCAATCCACTTCAAATAATGCAAACTTGAGCCATATCTAACTCGTCTACCGAATGATCAGACTTTTAGAAATGCCTGATCACACGCAAAAAACAAATGCCAAGGCAACATAATTGCTAGTCTCGCTGCCGGTAACAACTCCATGACCCTATTTCATGATATACTAGTATTAATGTTTGTGAAGAGCACGAATAATTAGCTCAGACTTTTATATTCGGTATTTTAAAGTAACGTGACATTTTACCAAACTATTCATTAAACCTCGTGAAATAAAAAAAAAAAAAAGTTGATAATAAAAATCAGTGTTTAACATTGACTTTTACAAATATCAACGACGTTGAGAATTAATCGTGCCGGTTGGCCGGTGCCGCCAATGAATGCCTGATCGACTGCTGCTCAGCGAAAAAAAAAAAGAAAGACAACAATCACCTTATGGGATCATCAAATATTTGATCAGTTCCTCAATTTAACGTCCGACGCGACACGTCAGCGGCCCCAAGAAGAGGAAACCGTTTACCAACTCACGTCTTAAACATAGGCGACCCCCAATTTAAAAGGCGTCTTGCCGCCCGGCTCCAGGCTCGCCGGGCCGCCGCTCTTCCCCATCCTCCACCCGCACACAGATCTACTGGGAAAAGCTCCCGGCTACGCCACTGGTTAGCGTATGTCAACTTTCAAAATATGCGCTAGTGCAAACGACAGTCATTGCTGTTCTTGCTCTTTATAAACTTCGATGGTCTAAACCACGTCTGCGTTCGCACCACACACTAATTTTATCGAACACTCGACGCCTTCAAACGTGCCAGCATGTCCGCCAACCCTTTGTCTAAGGAAGACGGGGGTCGCCTTCCCGGGGGGGGGGGGGGGGGGGGGGGGGGGGTGATAACCGACGCCAACTGCCGCCCGCGCAGAACCTTTCCTTACCTGCATACGGTGCACACGACTTGGAGCTGTGACTGAAGTCAGTCTAGCGCTCTCGGTGACTTCGTTAGAAGAGGCTGAGCCGAACAGAATAAAGAACGTTCCTGCGCTGGGACGCCTCCGTCGAACGTTAGAGAAGAAAGACCGTTATGACCGAAGGGGAGCGTCGGTGGCGTCGGCGGGGAACGCGCTCGGCAGCGGGCAGGCGCTCCCCGCATGCGCGAAGAACGATGTGTCATGCGAGGAGACCAATTAGCGAACTCGTTTGCGCCTTTCCACAGCCAATCGCAGCGCCCAAACTATGCACCCTCTGGGAGGTAATACTTACCTCGTTGGGGTTACTTACTTCGTGGCGAACTTCACCTTGTAGCACCGCACTGCTGCGCCTGAGAAGTTAACAAGCGGAGCGCTTCCCCATTGGTCGGGAGGAGGGTGGTAAAGGCTGTCTGTTACCTCCTTTTAGTCCCCTTTTTTTCTAAGAGGAGGTGTTCACAAAAATGGGGTCAAACGGTCCAATCTAAAATCCCTCTCAAAAACTACGTAGGCGCCGAACTTCTTTGCGCACGGGTCAGGTTCTGTGAGATGTCATGGTGGTACGGGATAACCGCCCAACGACCCCCCCGTGGCTTAGGACTTCACTTATCTCCCGAAACTAGCTTTTTAATCTGTCCAATTATGCCATCACTCGAAAACCCAGCATTCTTTAGTCGATATATCTGCTTCTCCACTGTCTTACTTACGTAGTGGGTGCAAGATCGGTTTAAAGCATTAT